AAAAAAAAAAAAAAATATCTATTCCTCGGTCAAAAAATGATAATATTTTTATTAATTCTCCTTTTCTCTTGTCTGATATAATTATCATATTATCTCTAGCTCATAATTAGTTCTGTAGTTCAGCTGGGCTAAGATTCGCGGTACGATTTTAAACGACAAATGTCTGTGGTAGCGCGCTTCTTAGCCTTGATTATAGTAATTACACAGATAGATACCTTCGCATTTACAATATAAATATATTAGTACGGATTAGGCCTACCATTCACGGACAGCTTAAAACAGCTTCAAGCTGCGACTGCTTAACAAACTACGAAAGCAGTTGTGACTGTTCGAGCGGTTCCGTGTACCTAGATTCTGTAGTTTGCTATACGACTTGAAGCTGTCGGATACTAGCTGCTTCAAGTTGTCCGTGTATGGTGGCCCTTACGTAGGGTTGCCATCCGTCTGAGTTTCCCCGGATTTGTCCTAGTTTAAGGCGTCCGGGGAGCGTCCGGCCGGGGTTTTATTTGTTGTCCGGGTAAATAAGTCTTGGGCCAATGCCGGGCGATGTGACTAAGTTTTCCGTGTTCTGGGCTCCAATTTCCAGGGTTTTCACGCGTCCTGTCCTGTAGGCCTAGGATGCGCGCCGTGATAAGCGGTTATCGCGCCACTTTATCGATTTTGCCCATACATTTTAAGGTCGATAAGGGTATATCACGGCGCGCGCGCATCCTAGCCCGGCTGGTTGTCTATAGTCTGGTCTGTGAGCACGTAGAATTTTGTCCAATGACCCCAAGCTGTCGCGCTCGCACACTCACTGCGGGCGCCCGTCGCACAGTCGCGACAGCAATATTATAACGCGCGAGCGATAAGGGTGGGTAGCTTGGGGTCATTGGACAAAATTCTACGTGCTCACAGACCGGGCTTTAGATATGGCAACCCTACCTTTAGGTATCTTTGATAATAGACATATCACTAAACAATATTCTCGTATTGTCGGTAGGTATATATAATAAGCTGATGGTTGGTGTTCCAGTGGCGAGCCCGCCGGGCGGCGCGGGCGCACAGCGGGAGGAGCCGCCCCGCCCGCCGCCCCCCGCTCCCCGCAACGGCACGCCGAGTAAGCACGGCTTTTGCGTGGTTGTTGCGATGTACATAAAGTATTTTTTTGAAAATAAAAAAAATAGATGACAATTGCCCAATTGTTCAGGCTCTGGCAGTGCACTTAAAATGCTGTCAGTAAATCTACAACTATACAGGGTGGAAACGATAAGTGATCTCACTCGATTATTTCTAAACTATACAAGATATCGAAAAAATGGTTACTGATCCTGAAAGTTCTTCACGAGCTCTATCTAACGGTACCAATAATAGGTTACAAAAATAAACTGGCAATGTCATAAAATCTTAATGACAGTGCATTGCCATATAAATGCCAATGCAATACACACCTCCCTCTGATATTGCCTAAAATAAAAGGTTAATCTAACATGAATCTAAATATTGTAACGCAAACTGCAAGCCGACAACACAAGTTAAAAAAAATAATCTTAAAATACTAACTAAATTAAACTGTAATCTGCTAATTAATACGTATCGTTATTAGAAACATACTTAAAACTAACCTAAAAAGAATAAAAACAAATAAAAATCGCAACAACCCCGTAGCCAATAGTGCACGTTTCCAATATTTTCATAATGTCCAACTCCTGCGCACCTGCACCCGCACGTAACACTCCTGTCGTAGTCTACCTTTTTATCGTTACCCTTTTTATCGATACCTTTTTTTATCGTTACCTTTTATATCGTTATCTTTTTATCGATAACTTTTTCCGTGTTTCCGTTGTTTTCTTTTTCTTTTACCCATTTTCACCACGGTGTTTCGTGTCAATTTACTATTTTTATGAATATCTATGTGTTTCTGAATTTTTCGGACGACTTGCACAACTTTGGAATACAGAAAGTGACATCAAAAAGATAATATTACAAGATTCAGATGCCGTATTATGTAAGGTTATGCAAGTCATTATGTATTTATATTGAATGTAATCTTTCTAGCAAAAAGGTAAGTTCAACTGGTTCAACAGTTACTTATTTTCTTATTTGCTTAAATTTTTTTCTTCTATGTAATTTGTCAGAAGTGATTGTACAAACAAAAGAACTGTCGTGTTTTTGTGACTACGAATCGTTGGCAATAATGATGTTGTATTCAAGACAGCCGTTTTATTATAGTTTCAAAGTTTTTTAATGTGCTTTAAAATCTGATTTAGCTGATTATAAATTATAACGCGTCAGTGTTTTACAGTTCTTAATCATTTTCAAGATTAGTTGTTGATCTTGGCTACTTAGGAGTAAACACAAAGTGGGAACGAGAAGTGGTACCTTCATTGGTTGGGTTTTTATTGGCGGTCAAGCTGCAATCCTGGTTACACAGGAGTATAGCCACTCCTCTTTCCTCCTCAGGCAACTCCTGCTGCAGCGGTGGAAACAAGATGTGGAAATAGTCCCTCAACCAGTCATATTTCTTCAACCCTTTTCTTGAATTTAAAAATCAATTTAGGTACCACGGCGTCGTACATAACGTAATGCATTACATAATGTAAGGCACACACGTCGCGACAACACATCGAATGTGACTGGTTACCTCATTATTTGCTACGCCACTGGACTAAATGCGGGACTTTTACCTTATTTCCTGGGCATAACACGATTTCTTTACAATAACGTAGTATATTGACATTGTATGTTACCTTTTGCAGTGTAGTTTTTCAATCCCAATCCCAACTAATATTATAAATGCGAAAGTAACTCTGTCTGTCTGTCTGTCTGTCTGTCTGTCTGTCTGTCTGTTACGCTTTCCCGCTTAAACCTCGCAACCGATTTTGATGAAATTTGGCATAGAGATAGTTTGAGTCCCGGGAAAGAACATAGGATAGTTTTTATCCCGGTTTTTGAAACAGGGACGCGCGCGATAAAGTTTTTCTGTGACAGACAAAATTCCACGCGGGCGAAGCCGCGGGCGGAAAGCTAGTTT